CTGCTGAACAATCGGTTCTTCTTCCAGTGAGTCCCGGGCACACTTTGAAATTGCCTCTCATGAGGCAGCTCCCCTGACTCGCACTGGGAAAAAAAAACAATCCCAAGAGGTGACCATGAACGTGTGGTGGGATTATAATAATGCAAAGGGTCAAGCAGTAACATAAATGCACTTTTTTATTAAATCCTTTGGGGAACTACATTTTCACAAAAATATACAAAAGAATTTCTTTTTACAAATATTTACATTCAATATCAGAAAACAATGTTAGCTACATATTTTAAACTTAGATTTGACAAATATAGTCTTGAATTCTGAAACTTAACACTCCAGGAAAGGGTTTGGGTTTTTTTTGGTGAAATAAAGTACTCAAAGTTCATATTCAAATTTAAAAAAAAATCTCAATTAATGCAAAAATCTGACATTTACTTTTTTATATATGTATATATATATACGTTAAATAAACAAACAACATCGTTACAGGGATTAGATGTTCATGGTGGAAACCAAAACGGAGTACATTTAAAACCGTGATCCTTGTTACAGTAATACATGACCATACCTTTGGACTAGTTTAAAATACTTTTTTTTTTTAATTGGTAAAGCAAGAGGGATTATCTGACACACTCCAAAATGAAACACAACAAATCTGAACAGACAACTGGATTTTAAGCTTAAAGAACTACAGTAAAATATTTTCCTAAGGTGACCTGACAAAGGGGAGCAGAGGAGGAGAGGACGGGCTCTCATGTTGTGCGGAACAATGCCGAAATGGATTTCCCGATGAAAGACAGCATATTACATTATTTTTCTATAGAATTTTCCACTGCCTTCAGTAGCTGTCCCTTTCCAAAATCGCTGCTACCATGAGGCTATTTTCCTTCTCAGTGTAAGATGAGAGAATAATTTGGAAGGGCGGCAGAAAATTCATGCTACCTCCAGTGCTGCATTTCCACAGCTCCGCTGCTTCGTAACCTACTGTACGATGTTTAGCATAAGGCAAGCTGCTGCTTTTTCTCTGCTAAAAAAAACCAAAACAACCCCCAAAAAAGTGTACATATCTTTAAAGGGAACCATTCTAATGTATTTACTTAGATTGTTACATTATTTTAAGCGATCATTGTGGTCCTGTGTGTAGTCTTACATGAAGTTTTACATTAAAAATGCATTAACTTTCTTAACAAATCAGTAATGCAGCTTTTCCATTACTTAATACAATATCCTATATACCTGTAACTGAACTAAAAAGCATAAATGAAGCTTATAATTACCAGATACTGCTTTTAATAAAAAATAATAAAAAGAGCTATTTTGCATCTAAAACCAACACAACACAATGGTAAGTAGTAGCGAGTAAAGGAAAAAAGAGACCAGCGATGCAGAACGCACTACCCAACAACACCAACATTTCACAAAAGTACAGCAAACCTTTTTTTTTGTCATGCAGTTTGTGCCTGTGTTCATGCTTGGAGGTACCTATTAAACTCCCAGAGAGACAGTATCACACGTGTCCTGGGTGTGATGGGTGCTTGGAAAAAAATAAATCCTGGAGTTATGGAAGTGCCACTCACAGCTCCACAGCTGAACATCACCTATTGAGGTTTTAAGTAATGTGATGGAAAAAGGTATTTAATTGTTTTGCTGCTTGAGAAGAACACAGACTCTGGTTGGGCAGGGAAAGATTCCCCCCTCCCTCGCTCCTCAAGCTGAAGAACTTGCAACTACGTAAGGTAACAAAAAATTATTTTTCAGCAACGTAATGCTTGGTATTTGCTATTAGTAAATACTTGGTATTAGTAACAGCAAAGCTGTGGTTAAAGCTGGCTCACGATCACAGCCACTGCCTTTGAAAAAATATTTACTTGGGGGCAGGGAGGGGTGGGGAGTCGGGTTAAGGACTCCTGTGCAAAAAAAACCCCACAGTAATGGCAAAAGCTGATGAATAAATAAATAGAAGATACTACACAAAAACCTTCCCCCCCCCCCTTCCCCCAAAAAGGTTTATAATCTTACGGAGGACTGAAACTAAAATACTCGTACTACTTCCCTTTTCCAGAATCCACTAGTGCAACCCTTGCTTCAATAATCTACATCTTTCTCCTCAAACACTGGTCTCCTGCCTCAGCCCCACTGAGGGCAGTGAGAGAGCAGCTACGTACCACGACAGGAGAGCAGCATCGGTCCCCTGCGGAACAAGGATTAGTCTCATGGAAACTGGTAAAGCACAAAATGACATTAACCCTCCAGTTTAATGTGCCCATTACGTTGGGCCCGTTTCCTTGTTCAGTGGGCACAGGTGGCTTGCTTTGAAGAACACAGAACAGTGTGAATCAGACAAATCTCTGCATCACTGGAATGAACGTGACAATCATTTTGGGGATATCTTTAAAAAACAAAGTTTGAGGTTCGTTGCTTTGAGTTTTGGTTGGTGTTTGTTTGTTTGTTTTTAGATTAGCTCTCACATGACATCTGTGCCCAAACTAAGCAAGATACATACTGCCAAGGGGTAGGGTCTTGAAGGTATCCCACAACAAACAACAGAAACTCAGGGCACTCATATTTTGGCTTCTGGAAGAGAAATCCAAACACAGGACATAGAATCACAGAATCATTAAGGTTGGAAAAGACCTCTCAGATCATGCTGCCTCTCATGTCCCAACTCAACTGTCAGGTGGGAAAGCATTAGTCCAGCTATTTGTGCACAGATTTTATGTTTTTTACAAAGACTTGCTACAGGTAAAAGATCAGTTGTCTAAGCAGCACCTGTAATGAGTTTGGATTTATTATTTTTACTTAAAGTTTACCTTCACTCAATTATTTCCTTATTTTGTAATGGTTTATTATCAGATAAAATCAAGAACTTCTCTACTTTATTTCTACTTGTATGCATTCATAGGCCTACATTACATTCACCTCCTCTGACTTACTATACCTATATTTGGAGGCCTGAAGCAAGGAATCACCAAAGAAAAATTCCATTTGTGTATGTCTGCAAACACCCATTTCCATCACACCTCAAGTTAAATGGAACGAACATAGGCTGTAGCTTTAATATCTGTCATCTTAAATGTTGTGCATGTCTGGGAACAGAACCAAGAACTGGTGAACGATGTTTCAGTAGGAAAGAAATGAAAGAAGCAGTAATTGACACAGTTGGTTATGAAGACTTTTCTAAAGTATATTAGTTCTTTGGTTTAACATTTTTTTGTTTGAACAACATATTTAAGCCCAGCTGCACAGGAAACTAAAATATGGGTACATCAGAAGAGGTCTATTAAAACAGTGTTTGGCTTATGTGGGGATGAGTAGCGTTTTAAAATACATCTTTCAACTCTTTTCACCTGAGCTCTCAGTACTACGCAGCAATCTTACATTTATGGTATTTTCTTTGTCACCCATGTGCACGCAGTGATGGCAACAGGGGTTCATCTGTGTGAGCCGCTGCACGCCAGCGCTGAACAGCTGTCCCGGAGGTACAGGGGTGGAAAGAGCAATGAACAGGAGCAGCTACATCTTTCCAAAACCAGAGCGACCAGCGCTGCTGGCAGCCTGTCCCTGAGCACTCTGCTGCCCTCCAGTCCTTGAAGGCCACCACCAGCCACTGAACATGCCTCACGTCAAAGGAGATGTTTGCCGGAAAGTGGCAGCACTCCACCCACCCACTGCCACCCGCACTGCCTCTCTGGTCCCACCTTTGCCTATTTAGGAGCATTCCTTCCTCTGCTTTCCTTTCTTTCTCTTTTCCTCTGTGTCCGTATTTACTGGTTCCTCCAACCCATGTTCCATAATTTCAAAACCAAGTGGAAATTCTGAGAATTGCCTAATTGTCCCCAGGCTCAGACTTTACACTTCCTGTTGTGGACATGTTCCACGTGGTTTTTTTCCCTCCTTTTTTTTTTTTTTGAAAATAAAGGAAAAGTGAATTGGTTGGATTGCTGGTCTAACAGTCAGCAAACAGATGAAGGTTATGCTGGTATGCTCTTGGTAATCTGAGAAGGGGATGGTCAGTTGTAGCATCAAGCAGACTGGAGAAAACCCCCACCAAAACCACTTACTAATTTTTAGTTACTTATGAACTATTTTGGCAAAGAAACCTATTCTGGCTTTTAGGCATATTACACACCTAAAATTATTACTTATTTTCTTTCCTGAAATAAGACATGCAGAGTATAAACCTGAAGTCAAAGTTAACTGAAGAGCAGAAGCTGAAGACAACCAAAGAAACGGGCTTGGTCTAACCACCCCACAGTGACTGATACAAAGAACGCAGAGCAGGCTTTGGCAAGCTCATTTATCCACATGAGCAAAAATCAAAGGGTGCTATAAATGTTAGGAAAACAGAGCTGACTGCAAGGAAGAGTAAGAAAAACATACGCGAATGCGATACAACTATAGTGATGTTAAAAACCACTAATGTGGCAATTTATTTTGTGACCTGTGATCGTACTTCCCTTTCTGTAGAGTCTACAGGATGATTCACTTTGTTCAAAATCCTCAAAGGACAACATTTGTCTCTA